GGGGGGGGGGGGGGGGTTGGAGGAGTAGGAGAAGGGAGATAGAGGGGTAAGAACGTCGTTTTCTTCCGTGTGCCTTCATTCGTGTTTTATACAAAGATGCTTCATGTGCGACAAGACAGACAGTTAAGAATTACGTATTAACACGAATGCAAGCTTAGAAAATGTCGATTTACTCAAACATTCTCCAGAAAGTTTCATTATATTTTATTGGTAACTGCAGTTGCTAAGGCGAAATATAAAGAAGGCTGGACGACCGTGGTTCTGTTTCCAGCATGGGCATAATGTTTGTATGTACCGTGACACCACAATGATTCAGGGACCTGCCGAATTTCTTGTTCACTGGGTTTCGAGGTTAAAGCGACCTATGTTACCTAATTCCGAGGTTAAAATTCCCGGAGCCTTATTTTTGCTATACGCCTTTTCAGAGTGGTCCTTCGGCATACAGGCAGCTTTGCCTTTACAAGCAGAAGTGACAGTCTTGATAGTAATTCCTGGACTCCGTTCTTTGAAAGTAATCAACGACTGTTTAACCTCTTTTGTGACGCACAGTGGTTAAGAAACAATAGTTGAACAGGTCTTCAATCATTTCTCAAAAATTGTATGTCTGACACTACAATATAGATCTAAGTTTATGTTACTGTTCTAATTAGTGTAGGCGTAATATTTTATAAGGAAAATAAGACGCACTTCATTTCGGGAGAATGATAAATATTAATGTCATCAGTACCAAATTTAATTTAAATTTGCTCAGTAGTTGCGGAGATAAAATATTAAGATAGGCGACTTTATGATTATGAGTTGATTTTATATACTGTATGTAAAGAACACGTAAATAAAACTGTACATTCCAAACGTACGTCCAGATTCAGATGCTAACAAATTAAGATTTAAAATTACGTTAGGAAGGAAAGTCTTATCTATATGTCTGGTATTATCATTTCCCAAACTGCATACAATAGGCATATCACAAGAGAATACTATTATCTATTATATTGCGTGCTAATTTTTTTTCAAATTGTAGTGTATGATAAAGATGTAAAGCGATGCAGTAAATGAGAAATTTAGGTGAATATCAGAAGAGCTTTCTAAGAACAGCCAGGAGGGAAACATTATTAGAAGTCTGCCATATCGGAAATAGAAGAAAATTTTATAGAGAAAGCTATTTTGCTTCATCTGCATTCTGTTCAAGATGTGATATCTTCATTCCATGACAAAAAGGTATGTAAACTGTACGAAAGACTTGTAACTAATCGATTCTAATTAAAATACTGTTGCTTCTCTCAGAAATGTTCTTTAAACGATGTATCGGACCTCTATAACAATAAACAAACCAGTCAGTATATGATACTTTATCCTTCTTGAGTTTAGTTTTAAAAAATTGCCCCGGTTTATAGAACCAGAAAAATAATTGTCATATTCACATGAAACAGGCAGCAGAACCTACAGAGCGAGTTGATTATTTGAAACCAATTTTAATATTATCTTTCCATTTACGCATGGGTGTTCTGAATGGTCTCATCTTATTAGGTTTTCAGGCTCAAATTCTGGTAGTCGGGGTCTTGCATTTGCAATGGGAATATAAATGTAGAAAATACATTAAGTGGAACTTTTTCTTAAAGCGAAAAGTAAATTTTCAAGATATGCGTCATACATAAAGCATATTTTGATTATAAAACAGGTTTGCATCACCTCAGTCATTTTCCTTTATCATAATGTTTCAATTATGATCCATTTCACATAAGATAGGTATTACCACAAGGAAAATGGTGTACATAAACTCTCGACTACTGTAATAATTCTTCTATACAGAGAATTCAGAAATAAATTCACAGTGTTACTATCATCAAGTAAGCATCACACAGTATTACTTGCATTTCAGTGTCTTCAAGTTTATTAGTGCGAATAGTATGCTGTTGGTAGGGTCAAGGGTTTGAATCTCGGTTGAAGCTTAACTGTTCTTTCCTCTCCATGTCTTGTCTGATGATGCTAAGAATTTTGTTCGGTTTCTAAACGTTGCACAAAATAGTGTATTTTCTGAGGAGGAGGAGGGGGGTTAAAATATCACGACTGTACATTTGAAGGCTTTTTGGCTGAGATTTGTTGGAGACTGAATGTCAGGTTCTCCAGTATGCCTTCTGCTTGTAATGAAGATTTAAACAATTTTGGTTAATGAACATGGCCTTAATCGAATTGTAGCGCCAAACACGCAACAACCTTTTTTCATGCGTGGTTTGGATGTAGTAAAGGTTTATACTTTGGACCCAAGCAACTACGAACTTCTGTACATTCTTTATTTTATATTTGACCAATTTAACGTCACTGATTCCAACTCATTTGTGCACTATATGCCTCTTCTGATAACGTGGTCTCCTTGCCACACTGAGTTTCCTTCGAAAACTAGAACAATAAATAATTTGTCTTATGAGGTATATATATATATAAGTTAATAATTATATCGTACACATAGATAATATGAAATCATGCGACAGGACTAGACCCCAGTAGACGCCTACGCCATGATATTCTTACAAGCCCGGCGGACTCATTTGACCTTTAGATGCACTGATGTGCAGTCTTGCCTATGAAACCCCATCCCTTAGTAAATGGAAGTGTGAGTGTATTTTACTGTTTGCAAACACTGCAAGTTTAACAATATTTTATATTGAACAAGTAACGTATGTCTTTCATCCGTTGAAAAAGTGTAGTCGGGCGGATCGGATGGCTGGGGAGGAAAGACGCAGACTGCCAAAAGATTAACAGAACTGATCCTCTCATTAGATGCATACGGATGTATCCACAAGACACACATTGTGCTTTATGTGCGACCCAGTAATCGGTACAGGGGATTCTGCTCATATGAACCAGAACTCGTATTCATGAGGCAAATGTGGACAGATGATAACACCTCGCCTTTTAATGACTCAGGCCTTCCGAATACGCCATACGCGTAAATATTAACACGCGGTAACGTTCACTGTATGAATTCTGAAGATTAAAAGCGTCCGTAATGGTGTGTTGTATAGTTTTAAAGCAAGGAACGGGTAAAGAATTTGCAGGTATACTAGACGCAACATATATGCGAGCCTGAGCCACGCCACAGTAAGAGGGGGGAGTGGAAATAGAAAGATCAAGGGAGAAGCAAGACGCCATGTGCTATCGGCAAGGCTGTTTACCCTCCCTCCCCCAACTTCATCTGACTGACCAATGTGTGTATTTGTAATAATCAACGAGGCTCGGAGATATCTTGCGGAAAGTGTACGTACGTAGGTAAAATCCAAAGGCCCGATATGTCCAGATGGTATGAAATGCGGTATACATACAAAATTTTAGACGGATAACTGAAGGATATTTGGAAGACCTAGACAGAGAAGGAAGGCTAACATTGAAATGATTCTTAAATAAACGGGTTTCGAAGTTGTCGGTGGAATTTGTGAGTTTCAGATAAGGCACCACTGAGGGATCATGTGATCGCGGCAGACTAATAAAGCCTGAGTTCTGTAAAAGGCAGAGAGGTACTGACTGTGACTGAGTATAATTTCTCAAAATGGATTTTCCTCCATGGAGGTACTTCATTGTTTAAGTTATATGTAGATATACTTATGTAAATAACCACATTTACCAGTAAGGAAGACGGCCCTGTATGCTTAACCAATATAAATTTTCTGAAAAAATTGAAGTCTGTGTTCGAAAATAAGTGTGTTAAGAATATGGACGCGACTTCAGAACACGGGTACTTAACATTAAATTCACATTAAAGAGTACCAAATTATGATTTGTTTAACCGCATCTCCTGCGTTGTGCTTCGTTGTGTAGGTAAATGCCTTGCGATGGTCTTGTCCCCAAAGAGTCGTGCCAAATGTCTAAAAGGACGGGTGCAGATCATAATACCATTTGCTAATGCAATTGGTCTATGGAAAAACGTGAGTGGCACTATAATTTCTTATGAAACAAATCAATCAGCTATTGTTGCCTTTTTGATCATTTCTACTGAAGCACTGATTACTGATAAACCAGCTGATAGAGAATAAATTAATTTTAAATTGAAATAGGGCATGAGACTTAATCCGTAAAAGCTGAGAAAAGGTTAAATACGACTACGCCTTCTGTCTCGTCAACTGTGACGACATATAATCTGATAAAAATGTGATTGATTTAATAGACCATGCCTGTTGTTAAATACGAAAATGTAAGCCTATCTCTGTAACGAGTCAAGAGAACTAACCACTTCTTGAAGATGGTTGTTTTCTGGGATGTAACATCGTGTAGT